TGTGGCCAAACTTAGCCAGAAATAAACAGGGATGGGAATTTTGGGAAACAGTGCAAGTCAGCCAAGTGAATGACACGGCAAAACCACCACACACCATAAATTAATTAACCATAATTCTTTAAAAAATATTGAATTTACCTTTTTCCGCTGTTCCCCAGTCATAAGTAGCCTACCTCATTAGGACTCAAATCTCAGTGAAGGCCATGTTTTGTCTAATTCATTTTATTGTACATTGTGAAGCGCAGTGATGGGACTGGCACCTGAGCCCTGAGCTCTATAAACAGCCCTGTAGAAAACCAGCCCTTCCTTCTATGAAAGCTACAAGCATGTCCTTGTGTGCAGAGCTGGGTCTGTATTCTCCAGGAACTTGAGAACAGACCATGATGGTAATGGCTTTAAAATGCCACTTACTGTCAGTCTAGGGGAAAGGGAGATGAGTATTCTTTGTATGACTTTTTTTAACTTTTCTGCCAGTTTAAAGATTTAAAAAAATGAAGAAAGCAGTGAGAGTAGGTGGGATCTAGTATAGCCATGTTAGATAGTAAACTATATTATGAAAACATTAAAACAATACCAAGACAAATAGACAACATGAAACAGTATGCAAAGAAAGATCGATGGACTGGAAGGCAGTCCAGAACCAGGTCTCTACTGTGCGGAAGTGTAACACTTGAAAGAAGGGGCACCGCACGTCAATGGAGGGAAGACACGCTATCCGATCAGTGTTGCTGTCTTCTCCTCCGTGGCATCGCCCAAATAACCCGAGCTATTTAATAGGTTTCTAGTTACAGAGCATCTTTCTTGATTTGAACTCTCTAATGGATTGCTCTAGAAATGGTTTATGGCCCCATTAAAACCCTGACCATCACCAAGAAGACAGAAGATTCCCAAATTGTTTTTATGAAGTCAGCATCATCCTAATCCCATAACCAGATAAAGATATAACAAAGAAAGGAAACTTCAGGCCAATATCGCTGATGAAGATAGATGCTAAAATCCTCAACAAAATATTGGCAAACTGCATCCAGCAATACGTTAAAAAGATCATACAGCATGATCAAGTGGGATTCATCCCAAGGATGCAAGGATGATACAATATTCACAAATCAATAAATGTAATATATCACATAAAACAAAAGAAAAATCACATGACCATAGTAGCAACAGATGCCGAAAAAGCATTTGATAAGGTACAATACCCACTTATGATAAAAAAAAAAAAACACTCAGCAAAATGGGAATAGAGGGAGCATTCCTCAACATAATAAAGGCCATATATGACAGACCTACATCCAACACTATACTCAAGGGTAAAAACTTAGAGCTTTCCCACTAAAATCAGGAACAAGACAAGAATGCCTGCTTTCAGCACTCCTATTCAACATAGTATTGGAAGTTCTAGCCACTGCAATCAGACAAGAAAAAGAAATAAAAGGCATCCAAACTGGAAAGGAGGAAGCAAAACTGTTGTTTGCAGATGACATGATAGTGTACATAGAAAATCCTATAGACTCCACCAAAAGACTACTCAAGCTAATAAGTGAATTTGGCAAAAACAATGGGATACAAAGTCAATATTCAGAAATCAAAGGCATTTTTGTATACCAACAATGAAACATCAGAAACAAATCAGAAAAAAATTCCCATTTGATACAGCAAGTATAAAATAAAATACTTAGGAATAAACCTAACTAAGGATGTAAAAAACCTGTACTCAGAAAACTACACAACGCTAAAGAAAGAAATCAAGGAAGACACAAACAAATGGAAGCATGTACCATGCTCATGGATTGGAAGAATTAACATAATTAAAATGTCCATACTACCCAAAGCAATTTACAGATTCAATGCAATCCCTATTAAAGTACCAATGACATATTTCACAGATATGGAACAAACATTTCAGAAATTTATATTGAACCATAAATGACCCCGAATAGCTGCAGCAATTTTGAGACAGAAAAACAAAGTAGGAGGGATCACAATCCCTGATATTAAACTATCACAGAGCCACTGTAATTAAAATAGCCTGGTCCTGGCATAAGAACAGACACACAGACCAATGGAACAGAACAGAGAGCCCAGAAATAAACCCAAGTCTCTATTTGACAAAGGGGGGTCAATATTTGACAAAGGGGGAAGAAGCATAAAATGTAGTAAAAACAGCCTTTTTAACAAATGGTGTTGGGAGATATGGACAGCTACATGCAAAAAAAATGAAACTCAACCACCAACTTACACCATACACAAAAATAAATTCAAGGTGGATAAAGGACTTAGATATAAGCTGTGATGCCATAAAAGTCCTAGAGGAAAACATAAGCAGGAAAATCTCAGACACTTCATGCAACAATATCTTCACTGATATGTCCCCTAAGGCAAGGGACATAAAGGAAAGAATAAACAAATGGGACTTCATCAAATTAAAAAACTTCTGCATGGCTAAAGAAAACAGCATTAAAATGAAAAGAGAACCACCTATATGGGAAATCATATTTGCCAATGATACTGCGGACAAGGGTTTGATCTCTAAAATATATAAAGAACTCACATGACTCCAGGAAGACAAACCACCCAATTAAAAAATGGGCAAAAGATTTGAACAGACACTTCTCCAAGGAGGACACACAGAGGACCGAGAGACATATGAAAAGATGCTCAGCATCACTAGCCATCAGAGAGATGCAAATTAAAACCACTATGAGATACCACTTTGCACTGGTGAGAATGGCCATGATAAACAAATCAACAAACACCACATGCTGGTGAAGTTGTGAAGAAAAGGGAATCCTAGTGTACTGTTGGGAATGCAGACTGGTACAGCCACAGTGGAAAACAGTATGGAATTTTCTCAGAAAACTAAAAATGGAACTCCTTTTGACCCAGCAATTCCACTGCTGGGATTATATCCTAAGAACCCTGAAACACCCGTCCAAAAGAACCTATGCACCCCGATGTTCATAGCAGCACAATTTACTATAGCCAAGTGCTGGAAACAACCTAGGTGCCCATCAGTAAATGAGTGAATTAAAGAGCTCTGGTACATTTACATGATGGAACACCATGCAGCAGAAAGAAAGAAGGAGCTCCTACCCTTTGTGAAAGCATGGATGGGACAAAAAAAGCAAGCAAAATATAACCAAGGACATTGAAATTAAGAACAATCTAACGATAGCCAGAAAGGAGGTGGGAGGGGATAATGGGAGGAAGGGTTTTCAGGAAAAACTATAAAGGACACATGGACAAAACCAAGGGGAGGCGGTGAAAGCAAGAGAGGGAGGTGGGTTTGGCTGGGGTTGGGAGGGAGTGGTAAGGGGTAAAAGCAGACAACTGTAATTGAACAATAAAACAATTTAAAAAATAGCCGTGGCTGGTGTAGCTCAGTGGATTAAGCTTGAGCTGTGAACCAAAGGGACTCCGGTTTGATTCCCAGTCAGGGCACAAGCCTGGGTTGCAGGCCAGGTTCCCAGTGGGGGCCATGTGAGAGGCAACCACACACTGATGTTTTTCTCCCTCTCTTTCTCCTTCTCTTCCCCTCTGTCTAAAAATAAATAAATAAAGTCTTAAAAAAAAACAAAAAAAACTAAAACTAAAACCCTGACCATCAAAACGCATTACAAAGACAAACTTTTCACCAGCCTGGCCCAACAGAGTTTAAAGGTGTAGCTCCCACTCCCAGCACATTGCTTCCAATCCCCCACAGCCCCGCAGACCACTTTACCTCCTCAGGCTTCTGTCCCCGCCCCACCTTACTCATGGGAAAGAGGCCCCAGTGCCCGGGAGGGCAGAAGTGGTAGCTGAGGGCTGCCCTTGGAGAACGGTAGATGGTACCCGGCCTCTTTCTGGGGCTCTGCTTTCTTCCAGCTTTGCCTTTCCGGGTCAGAGGGCATGAACAAGCTTTGCTTTTTTTTTTTTTTTTTTTTGGTCCTTAGAAAACCCTGGAAGCTGTTGTTGTTTTCATATGTCTGAATTTTTTTAAGTTGTTTTTTTCCATTTAGCTTGAAATGTCCATGTTCTGTCACTGCTAATGTAGTTCAGAATATAGTTCATCCTGAACTGTATCCATTCCGGACTACATCATAATCCACTATCTTTGTCCGCGTACTGTTTCAGGGTGTTTTCTTCTGTTCTATATTTTATTCTGGGTTCTAAGAACCTCGCAAGATAGTATCTGATTAAAATCCAAGATTTTTAAAATTTAAAAATCCAAGAAGCAGATAAAGTTTACCTGAGATATGCTAAGTTAAGGGAGATCATCTTAAATCTTATGAATATTCTCATGGCTGTTTCTGACATTGCGAACACACCTCTGAGGTTTGGAAGAGCAAAGGGAGCATGGGGAGACCTGCACGACACCCTGGCCTGGCCCCGGGCTCCCCTTCAGCCCCCGCTCTCAGTCTCGGTTTCCCTGCCTGGATCTGGTCCTACATTCCATTGCTTTGCTTCTTCAGTCTTTTTTTTCCATTAAGACATTTATGATGTGCAAAGTACTGCATGAAGTACTTTTGTGGTTACTCAAATCGCTTCATTTCCTAAACTCCCATAGAATTTCAGCAGCATTTTGAGTTTATTGTCTTCAGAGAAGCAGGGCAGGCACTCTGCAGCCACTTGTGTCCCCAGCATCTCAGACGGGCTCCGTAAGCACCTGCTGAGCAAGTGCTCTCAGGTGCCCTGTCAAGGCCTGGCCATACCACAGGTTTGCCAGGCCTGGAAGACGAATGCCGGCTAGACCTTGTTACGAAAACTGGAGTCCAGCCAGGGCTGATGTAATAAAAGGAAACCTACACTATAGCCCAAGGAAACTAGTTATCAGTGGGGAAGATGAACCGCTGAGGGTGTGCAGAGGGAGTCACCAGTTTGTGATGATGACACATGAGGGACGCCACAACCTGACACACCACAGGAACACCCGTGTTTCACCAGCGTGGGACAAGGGTGCCTCAGACCAGGTCTGCTAGGGTGGCAACAGGGCAGGAACAGTAACAACACACAGACCTGGGTTAAATTACCTCTTTATGTGCAGAGCCCGTAACCCAGTGAGCCTCGTGAGTAAAATTTCATGGAGGCATCAAGGACACAGAGCTTCTTAGAATACTTCTCCCCTTCTCTCTATATTTCCACTCCACACACCAGACTAGATAATATACACTCTCAATTACAAAATAAAAATAACTCCCAATGCAGAGTTCTTAAAGAATTCCTAATGAAACTGTTCCAAATTCCATAACACCGAGGATGGGTTGGGTTCATTTCTCAAAGGGAACTGCATCGAGGAAAGGGGGCAGAAGGTCAGAGTCAGGTTTCTGGGCCAGGGGAGCTGCTTCACCTCTCCTTCAGCCAGTTTCAAGCCCTGGCCACATGGTATGACTTTGGTTCCAAACGTCCTCAGGGTATCAGTGGTGCCGGGCTCTGTTCTCACAGGCTACCTGCCCGGTGGGAAGGGAGAAGCGCCTCTACAGCTTGAGCTCTCGGTCCGGCTTCATGCTGAAGGGCTCCAGCCGCTCGGCCTCCGGCAGCATGCTGTTGAGCCTCTCCATCAGGGGCACGGTCTGGTCGATGCCCATCTGTATGCGGCGGAGGATGGCGGACATCTCATTGACTTTCTGGATCTGCTCCGCGTATTTGGCATATCTTTTCTGGCGCTCTTGCATGAAGCTAAAGAGAGTTTCTACAGAAAGATCTATCTGCAGAAGGAAAAGAAGTGAAGTGCATTAATGTAGTTCAAACAGGTCCTTTCAAAAGTGTCAGGTGATCAGCATGCCTGGCACGAGAGACAGAGTCCCACACTTGACGTCAGGTGGGCGCTCACAGGCTTCAGGGGAAGCGCTGGGGGATTAAAACACCCTCCATGAACAAACCGTTACTCAGAACCATCTTTAGAGGGAGACGAAGAGACGACTGTCTCTGGCTCTGTTTGGAAGTGGGAGCCACTTACTCCTTGGGGAGACCCTGAGATTTCTATCTCGACCTCTCCATGTGGAAGATTCCTGAGCCTGGAAACCAGATGAACCCGGGTTTGAACCTGGCTCTGCCACGCGGGCTGACAATAATTATGCTTTGTATCTCAGGCCTCCATCTGCAAAACAAGGGCCAAATTCCAGAGTCGCACGGTTGCTGAGGGGATGAAATAACATGCAAACAGTTCTAGCATGGCCCTTGGTGCGACACAGAGAGGCTTTAAGATGTGTTCTTCGTGCCTCCCGCTCTTCCCCGAATGGCTGCTGGTGGGCGAAACTGCAGGAAAGGAGTGGCTCTCCCCGCAAGGCCCAAAATGCCAACCAAGGCTCAAGTCCGTACCCTGTGAGGCGACCTGTGAGAACCGCTCCACCGGGCCCCTCTCCCGGTTAGATAAACGGTAGGCTCTGGGCTCCCCTTCTGGGACCTCTTGCTTCCCTTGGTGAAGTTCTTTGCGACCTTCCATCTGCATAAAATAGCGGGAGGGAATCTCCGGCATGCTGGATGCCTGCACCCCCTCCTCTGAGCAGACCCCACATCCACTCCCTCCCCTTTCCTTCCCCAGTCAGGAAAGAAACGGTCAAACCACCAAGACTCACTCTGCCATCCCGAAGTTCAAATGCCACCCTGCCCTCCTCTCATCTATTCCAGAAGCACGCCCCTTCCCCACCCAGAATCATGCAAGGTGCTGGCACTCAGTCCTGTTACCACAGAGCCTCTGAAAATGGTGTGATCAAAACAAAAACAGAACATGTAAGAGACCAAAGCTAACCCCAAGAAAAAAGAACCAGTTCTATTTTTATATGGTGTCTGCGTGGAGAGGAATGGTGAGCAGGCAGGTGTTAGAACTTAGTGCGTGATTTCTGGGTTGGTTCTTCTCTTCCTTCTCTTGTTTTTAAATGACTCAGGGACATAAAGCAAGTGGGAGAGGGGGTGCAGATAGGGAAAGAAACATCTGAATGGGAAACCCCAAATAATGGGGAAACAGTTGATACCTTCAGAGGGTTTTCTGCAACCTGTTCAGTCACTCAGCACTTTGGAGGTGGTGAGCCAGTAAATGATCAGGTTCCTGACAGCGGAGTGCCAGGTTGTTTTAGGATGGCGATTCACTCCAGCACCTAGAAATACTCCACCTTCTGAGACACAGTGGGAGATGTGGGAGCCAGTGGGAATCCTCATAAAAACCAGCGGGGCTCATTGAACACCTGCTCCAGAATGCAGCACCTTCTCGGGTTATCACGGTTCACTTGGCAGGGCATGCCCATCCTCCAAACCCCCAACTCTAACAGACTAGACATGTACTTGAGGAGTTTATCTGAAACGGCCTCTAGGGCTCTGATTTAGCCCATCTGATGCCCTTGGCTATCCACCCATTCCCCCTAATTCATACTTGATCAGACAGTTTTTACAACCCTGTAGGCAAGGTGTTTGTCCAAATGGCATTCACTTCCCTACATATTTCCACACCCAGCTGGGTCCCATGGGTAATGTAGCCAAGAGCTTTGTTCAAAGCCACATCGTATTTCATGCTTATGGGAGAATACATCATTCAAGCATGCTGTTCATACATGCTTATAGTATGTTTTCCAAGAGTCAATTCCATAACAATCCACACAAAAAAAAACAAACCAACCCACAGAGGAGGCTGAGTGACCTTCAAGGTCTCAGAGAACAGAAACAAGAGGGACCTCCTCAGTCTAGCATCTTCCTTTCACATGCATTTCCTGAGCAAGAGAGCGTACCATCAGTGATACATGAGATTTTAGCCAGAATGGGGCTTGGCACTAAAGAACGTCAAAGTGTGTGATGGAAAAGTCATTGCCTCTTAAGCCTCTTCCCACTTTTTCTGAATGCTATAAGAATGTCTCAATTTGGTGCAAGTTAAGACTTTAATACCTGGAGAAGTATATAATAAAATTGGTGATACCTATTTCTCATTGCTCTCTTGAGGCAAGACTGTTCCCTAATCCCTGTCTTTGTCTGTGGCAATGAGACACAGTTCAGACTTACTCTCGCACATCTGATGTGACTTTAGGCAATAAAGTCAGTATCTAATGAAGTTCTGGATCTTACCATTTTGACAATTTGGGACTTATCCTTATTCACCTTTCCTATTTCTATTTTTAGCATAAGGATTCTAGAAACATGAATATAATATACATAGTCAACAGACATTTATTGAGTACTACAGGGTGCACCATGCAAAGTCCTAGGTATATAGATGCTAAGAACCAAAACTATTCACACCCACACAGCTTAGTGTGCATTAATATGACTTTTCTTTTCCACTCCTTTGTTAACGTAATTCTACTATTCCAGAAAACTCAGGCCCAGAAAGAGAAATGTTGCAAATAACTTTGTTTCAGGAAATTCCAGAAGCACCATTTAAATGTTAGAAAGAAAAAAAGGTGGAGGTTTTCCAATACAGAGAATGACTATTCTCCACAACTCCTGCCCTGAAACCCTTGCTTTGCTGTGGCCACATGACTGAGTTCCAGTCAGTGGGCTGCATTACATACGTGGGAGTCTCTAGCTCAGGCTGTTAGCGGGCACACACTCTTTGTATCTCTTCCGCCTTGTCTTGGCCCCTTCTTCACTCTGCTGTTGCTGGGACGTGGATGCCACCCCCTCAGACCACAAGAATAACTAAGGTCACATCATCGGTTAGGCAGAAAAGTCCACCAGAGAAGTCTGAGTCCATGGGGGCTTCTGTGGCTGAGAGCAGTGCTGGGCATGGGGCAGAAGAATGCATTCCCACTCTGTGGAGGCCACTGTGATTTCGGGTCTCTGTAACACCAGCTGCATTTAATCTTTTACTGACACAAATGAATTTGACAAAGTCCCTGTCTTGAAGAAACCAAATATTTACTCTCAAACTCATATTTCTAACTGTACCCTGTATATTCTATGTTGTTTTTCATGTCAGTACATTTTGAAGGACAGGTAGAAAAGGAGGTGAGATTATTTGGGGGGTACCTGCGGGCTTTACTAACACATTAGATTTCTGCAGAGCATGCTCAAAGCTGTCCCAACATCCTGCATGAGTGGTACAGCCTATTTGCCCTCATGGTCAAGCCACTACCAGATATCGATCCAAAATATTAGCACATCAAATCCAGCAATGTACAAAAGAGTAATATGTCCTAACCAAGTGAGGTTTATCTCAAGGATGCATGCTTCTGCAGCATCTAAAAATCAAAATGATTTGCCATTTCAACAAAATGCAGGTTAAAAAATCATATAATCAATTCAATAAATGCAGAAAAGCATTTCAACAAATTATGAATAATTTCAGCAAACTAGAAGCAGAACAACAGTCCCCCATCTTATAAAGGGCATCTATGAAAAACCTACAGCTAACACCAGTTAGTGGTGAGAGGTACTTTGCTCCCTAAGATCAGGACAAGGCAAGGATGTTCACTCTCATCACTTCTGCTTAATATGGTATAGAGGTCCCAGCCAGCACAATATATCAACAGATGGAAATGAAAAGCACAGGAATTGGAGAGGAATGAATAAAAGGGGCTTTATCTACAGATGGCATGATAGTACAGGATCCAGCAGAAGTAAGACCTGCTTGAATGTGGTTGGTAGGGTAACAATATGGCTGTAATAATTTATAGTTTTAATTTGAACATTTCACCTAAATGTCATATGGTGTGCTTGAGTGTGATATTGTTATATCACAGAATTGCATGCTTACGATTTTTATAATAAAAGATTTTGCAATGAAAGGGGGTATCGTTGGTGCTGGACCTTGTATATTTACAAACTCTTAAGGAATCTACCAAAAATGAATAAAACTAACACAGGGGTTTTGCAAGGTTGCAAGATGCATGGTCAGTATGCAAAAATCAATTTTACTTCTACATACTTGCAATAAACAACTAAACAATGGAATGAAAAATACTATTTAGAATGCATTAGCAACATGAAATTGGGAAAAATTCAACACACTATGTACAAAATATACTAATATTACCTGTATACTAATGTTATAAAACCCTGCTATGAAAAATTAAAGAACTTAAAAACTGGAGAAATATACCATGTTCACAAATTGGATGATTCATTACCATTAAGATGTCAATTCTTGCCAAATTGATTGATTCATTTGCATTGTGAATCAAAATTCTAGAAGGCAATTTTGGTAGGTATTTGATAAGCTGATTCTAAACACATACGCTGGCCAAAAGAATTTTGAAAAAGAGCATAGTGTGTACATTTATAGTATTTGATTTCAAGACTTACTACAAAGCTGCAGAAATCAGAATAGTGTAGTATCGGCACAGAGGCAGACATATATCAATAGATCAATGAAACTGAACAGTGTAGAAATACAGTTAAACATATTTAGTTAATTAATTTTTTAAAGCAAAGATTTCAAGGTAATTTGATGGAGAAAAGGAAGTTTTTCAACTATTATTGCTAAAATGAAGAGATACCTACACAGGAAAAAATAAATCTAGGCCCCTATACCTCACTCCATGAACAAAAATTAACATGAAGTAGATTGCAGACCTAAACATAGAAGCTAAGACTTCTAGAAGAAAACACTGAACAAAAACCTTTGTTACCAGATTTCTGGCCAAGATGGAGGCATAGGTAGACACACTGTGCCTCCTTGCACAACCAAAAGAAGGACAACAACAATTCAAAAACAAAAACAACCAGAACTAACAGAAAACTGAACTGTATGGAAGTCAAAAACCAAGGAGTTAAAGAAGAA